CGTTATTCATTAAAGTAATGCTGCATTGAATATTCATTGCATGTCTTACGCACATGTGTGTGTTTCTCTATCACATTAGCTTACATTCTTCTCATTATGCCTATCATAAGTGCATTTCCTATAGGACCCACAAACATTTATTTCTGCTAATCCCAGAAACAAAAAATACTTGTGTAAATCTTAAACTTGGTTAGATTTTGCTCAGCTGTTCTCTGAAAAGAATGTGGTGATTTACACTTCCACAATCTGCCCTCGTACTATATTCTGGATACTAATCTCCTACTCTGTGACCTGTCTATCATTCATTTCGTGATCCCCAAGCTCAGTTGTCTTCAAGAGGAGAGACTTATTCATCAACTGTTAACATGTACACACACATTATATATACAAATATATATATATTTTAATTTTAGAGAGAGGAAAGGAGAGGGGGAGAGAAAGAAACATTGACTGGTTGCCTCCTGACTGCACCCTGACTGGGACTAAACCTGCAACTTGGGCATGTGCCCCGACTGGGAATCGAACCAAACCTGAGACCCCTTGGTGCACGGGATGACGCTCAACCAACTAAGCCACACCGGCCAGGGCAACATGCACATTTCTGTTAACTGGTCTCTAAGTTATGGAATTAACATTTGGGCATTTGAAATTTGCTTGTTTTTCAATCTTTTCTGAGGTGATTTTGCAGTTTGAGATTGTCACCTTTGATGGTAAAAGAATGGCTCAGAGGCTAGAGTAATCGTGGACTTTAGTATTAAACTATGACTGGGGTAACCAGTGTATATCGAGAAGATTGACTAGCTACAGTAGGAGGAAATTGTGAAGGAATGGGAAGTATTTTGGATTGATAGGGAGTTTTTAATTCATTTAAACAAAAGATACATTTTGAGTGCCTGTTCTTTGGTGGTGAGTACACAGATTAAGATATAGGTGCTTCAAGGTGTTCAAGCTAGGAAATAGGCAGAGTATTAAGTGCTGTGATCGGGGGGTGGGGTTTATTATGGGAGCCATTGCAGTTTTTTGTGTGAGGGACTGAAGTGGTAGATTAGGATACAAGTCTGGCCAACTTAGAATGTCAAGGAGGAAGACTAAAGGCAAAGATTCTAGTTAAGAAGCTACTATAGCCCTAGCTTATTTGGCACAGTGGATAGAGCATTGGCCTGTGGACTGAAGGGTTCTGGGTTGAATTCCCAGTAGGGAGCGTGCAGGGAGGCAGCTGGTCAATGATTCTCTCTCATCATTGATGTTTCTATCTCTTCCTTTCTTTTCGTCTCTGAAATCAATAAAAATACATTTAAAAAACATATATTTCCACAAGAAGTTGTGGAATCTTGTATGCCATTTAGAAGCAAGGAAACTTACTCACCATGTAGGATTATTTAAATTGTAGTTATTCTAGCCGAAACCGGTTTGGCTCAGTGGATAGAGCGTCGGCTTGCGGACTGAAAGATCCCAGGTTCGATTCCGGTCAAGGGCATGTACCTGGGTTGCGGGCACATCCCCAGTAGGAGATGTGCAGGAGACAGCTGATCGATGTTCCTCTCTCATCGATGTTTCTAACTCTCTATCTCTCTCCCTTCCTCTCTGTAGAAAATCAATAAAATATATTTTTTTAAAAAAATTGTAGTTATTCTAGCCCTAGCATTCAAGTACAGTTTTGTTATAGCATGTTTTTTAAATAATGTGAACTAGTTCACAAACAATTGCTAAATAGGGCAGTGATGTCAGTATAACCCAGAAGTCCCATTGGTTGATATGCAGTTTTCCCCAACACATTAACACCCATTTCCTACAGTTTTATAATAGTTAACTGGAGGAATACATGCATTTATGTCAGAAATAAGAAGCTGAGTCATATATTGATAGGATCGCTCAGGGGTAGAAACAGGAAGTTACTGCAGTAATCTGGGAAGTAGGAAGTAAGTGGAGGCTTGGACCAAACTAGGCCATAATGAACATTATGAAAGCCTACCTTCCTAGAAAAACATATGTACACAGGAGGTGTGCACAAGAATGTTTATTGAAGCATTGCTTTAATAGTGAGTAACTAGGCCCTGTCCTGGTAGCTCAGTTGGTTAGAGCATTGTCCTAATACACCAAGGTTGCAGGTTCAATCTCTGGTCAGGGCACTTATAAGAAGCAACCAGTGAATGCATGGATGAGTGGAACAACAGATCAATGTTTGTCTCTCAAATCAATTTAAAAAAATTTTCTTGAAGTGAATGACTAGAATACCCCATCAATAGATTGGATAAACTACGCAGTTTGAATTAAGTTATTAGCCAAAGAGAAATGTCATATATACAGATGAATATGAGTCTGGAGTTATATAAGCTAGAGATATAAATTTGGCAGTCATTAGGATATAGATGCTGCTATAAGGCCACAGGACTGGATAAAATTACTAAGGCAGTAAGTATAAATAGAAAAGAGCTCAGAGAAGTGAGCCCTGGGGAACTATCATGTAGTTTGGGGAAAGGAGGAAGAACTATCTAAAGAACCTTGAGAAAATGATTTTCTGAAACAAGTGTTTTCAGGAGACAGAAATCAATTGTATCAAATACTGATAGGAAGGATGAGAGTTCCATTTAACAACATGGAAATTCTTGGCAAGAGTTTCAGTGGAATGTTGGAATTGAAGGCCTGATTAGAATGCTTTTAGAGAAATTGGGAAGAGGAAAATTGAAGAACTTCAAACTCCCACTACCACTTCTACTTACCTAACTCTTCTTGTGCCAATATATTACTTTTTCTCCTGTTACTATGAATGAGCTGTCTATGCCTCTGGTTGAAGCCAACCCCTTCCATTGTGTATTTGATTCTGTCTTCACTAAATCTCCCCTTCCTCTCCTACATCATCAGTTATTTTCTTTCTACTGCACCATTCTGGTCAGCATATAAACATGCTGATACCTTTCCCATTAAGAAAAAAATCTCTTGACCCAACTTTCTCCTTCAGCTACTGCCCACATTTTCTTCCCTTTACAGAAAAATTCTTTGAAAGAACTGTTCAGGTGCAGGCATGGAATAAGCAGATTTAATCAAGTTGCGGTTAAGCCATGTGAGGATGATGAAGAGATAAAGAAACAAGGAAGTTAAAATGGTATGCAAGTGTGTAATTTAAGCTGCTTAAGCGTGGGAAGCCGGCTCTTGTCTTCTCTAGCAGAGAGGTGTGGACAAGGAGCCAGGAAGACTGGTGACCCTTGAAGCCCTGGCAAAGGTCAGAGCTATGCACCCACTGTTTAGTCCAGACAATGGTAGCTGAAGCAACTTCCCCACCAGAGTCATGTAAATCCTTATTGATAAGGTAGTCTGTCTTTTACTGGAACTTGCCTGCCTAAGGGCTATGGGTGGATCCCAAACTGAATAAAAAGATGGCGAGGCCTGAGCACAAGCGGAGTCCAACCTCTTGGGATGAGCTCTCGCCTGCCCCCCCCCCAATTTCCAAATTATCTCTTGTCTCGTCTCTTTCATTTGTGTGCGGCCCCTCTTCCAGATCCTGAACCCTGAACCACGCCGGATGTGGGGGAACATACACACTTAAGGAAAGAGAACACGAGAGGAGTGAGAGATGTGAAAAGGGGGTGGTAGCAATGAACAAAAGCTCCCCATGAAGGTCAAGGAATCATTCGAAATAGGGTCATCAAGCTGGAAAGAGGTGTTAGTGTTGGAGAGTGGGGTGTTGAGATCATAGAAGAGTCTGAGTTATTGCTAATGACAAATTGAAGGTTATGACTGAAGTTGTAGCTGAGACAGAATAGGAGAAACTATTGAATCTTTCAGTTCAGCCAACATACTGAGAGGCAAGACACTAAGCATCATCTGTATGGGCATTGAAATCACAAGAAATATACCGGAGTAGTATCGTAGAGAGAGTAAGACAGGAACTAAGTTCTTAAAGGAACAATGGGGAATTGGGACTGTACAGTAGATAACTGCAGCAAGAAGTACCCCGGTAGCAGATGCCATATCTGATGGCATGTTTTTTATAGGGGGCAGAATTCAGGCCTAGTATTGCCACATATTTTGATATTTGCAAGAGGAAACTGGATTTTTATGTGAAAAAGACTTAAAATACTAGCTGTGTGTGTGTGTTGTTGTTGTTAAATACTGTGCAGGCCAAATAAACCATGTCATGCTCTGGCTGGTTTTGCTCAGTGGATAAAGCATAGGCTCACAAATTGAAGGGACCTGGGTTTGATTTCTGTCAGAGGCATGTAACTAGGTTGCAGGCTCCCTCCCCAGCTCATGTTGATGTTTCTGTCTCGCCCTCTCCTTTCCACTCTCTCTAAAAATCAATGGAAAAAGATCCTTGGGTGAGGATTAACAACAAAACATGTCAGAGACTGAATTTAGCCATTGTCACAATTTTATGAACTCTGCTTTTAAAATAGAAACTACTGAGGTGTGTGAGTCCACGGTTGTCAAACTGGCTGGCTGGCTGCCTTGCCATAGTTCAGTCTGCAGGTGTAAAGAGGGACTGTACAAGCTGATCACCAAGCAGCACTTGAAGTACCTGGCAGTTTGTCACTTGCCTAATTGATTATTGCTCAAACAGCTTTTATTTCACCCCATATTTGTTTACTTCAGTTCTCACCCTAATAATGGAATTGCCTTTGAAAAGAAACACACCTAACCTTTTATGGCCAGAACTTTAATTAAAGTAGACCTCATACAATAAAGGAAATAGGGGAAATTTTGAAGGTTCTTTAAGCCTTAAAAAAAAAAAAAAAAGGCTAGTTAATTCCTAAACAGACTTTACTGTTATAAAATATTTAATGTTTCTTCAAAATCTTCATTTTCCTTTAGTCATATTGATGACTGAGAATATTTTTTGTATTAAAGTAGAAGTCCTCAAGATGGTGTTTGACTGTATTTGAACTTGGGCAGGGCCGCAACACTCCCTAGACTTAGTTTCCTTATCTGTAAAACAGATTAAAAATACATGCCCTACCTACTTTGATTAGGATCAAAAGAGAGTGTGAAAAGGTTACATCTTGACTTTGTATGGGTGCTTTGTGTCATTATACAGTATACTATTAAAGAATAACAGCTTGCCTAAAGCTAGTGAGCCGCTTTGTTTAGAGAAAATAGTTTAGATTAGAATATATTTAAAATTTAGGAAACCCTGGGAATATGAGTGGGTATATAATCTGCTTCCAAAAGCAACTTTCCTATTGAAAGATGACACTGGGTATCACTGTGTGAGGTACTGGCTGTAAAGTATCCTCTCCAGGTCTGAGAGCATGACTAGTACGGTGGTTAAAAATCCTGTTCATTCAGGAGACACTTGATATACACACTTTCTTTGGGCCTCCCATCACCTTCCTTTCCCTTCTCACCCTGTACTCATTTTTTTCCTCATCAAAATGAACAATTATCACTTGATTTACAGTTAATGTAGTGAGTCTCTGCTAGCAGCATTTAATACACACTCAAAAGAACAAGTCTTAACTGAGAAATACAGGATGCCTCATTTTCATAGTAATTTTTTAAGTCCCAGTGATGAAAACTAAGGCAGCTTCCTCAAAGGAAGTGACATTGATGAATCCAGTGCAGCCAGTGTGCTGAATCTGGGGAGACAAAGTCTTTATCACGTCCAACTGGACTGTCTTGTGACTTAGTCTGAGTCTTTTGGAATAGTTACTCCTTCTTATTAGTTGTATGGTTGTCATACAGCCATGGAAGGAACAAGCTGAATGTCAAAATCATCAACAGTATACCTGAAAGATAAAACACAATAAAATAAAAACAAATCTCTAAAGAAATTCATAATCATCAAGTAGGTATAACTTAAGATTATATGTACAATTATATACCTAGAGATTGGAAAGCAATGTTTAAAAGAATTTGCTACATCAATTCTACATGAAATGTAGATTGTTTCTAAATCTAATATTCTCGCATTATTCTTCTTCAACCATGAACGCTTAAAAACAATATGTACTTGGTAAAACCAGTAAGCTCTAAACATAGAGGATAAACCAAACCTAAATAGTTGGAGTTCCAGTTCTGACTCCATTACTGACTTGCTGAGCCAGAACCTCTGGACTTGGGTCTCCATTTGCTCTTTAAAGTGGCAACACTGTCCCCCATATCCTCGAGTAGTGCTTGTCAACCTTTTTCATCTCATGGCACACACACACTAATTACTAAAATTCTGCAGTCACCAAAAAATACACTTTTTGCCAATCTGACCAAAAAAATAGGTATAATTTTGATTCATTCACACCAGATACCTATCTATAGTTATGTTGGCTGTTCTTGGTTGTTTTTTTTGTTTTGTTTTTTTATTTGACAATCTTAAGGGAAAAGGTCAGTGCCCCTGACTAAATATTCAGGTATTGCAGATTTTAAAAATTCTGGCAGCACACCTGTTGAAAATTGCTGCGCTAGCCCTGGCCAGGTGGCTCAGTAGTTAGAGTGTCACCCCTTACACCTAAAGGTTGCCAGTTCAATTTCCAGTCAGGGCCTAGGTTGCACCGGTCATGTACAGGAGGCAGCGATCAATGTTTCTCTCATATTGATCTCTCTCTCTAAAAATAAATTGGGTGGGTGGTGGTGGTGTGTGTGTGGGGGGGGGGATGTTCACTTCCTCAGATGAGGATTAGAAAAAAAATAAAGAAAATCGATGCCCTAAGGATGTTCTGGGAAAATAAAACAACTGAAAGCACTCTTGAGTTTTCACTTGGAATGATCAAAAAAGAACACTATGTTAGATTACTTTATCTCTTCTCATTTTTTCATCAAATCTTAACCGTTAATAGCTTTTAAAGCTGTATCAAGCAAAATATCTAGAACAAAATTTTGGTTAATGTTGAAATTTTAAATCTTAAATATGAAAAAGAAATGACATAATAGTAAATCTTCATTTTGAGATCATACCAGGCAAATCTAGCATGTAGGTCCTGGTTGATTTTTCAGTGAGGAACAGGGTTAGAGTAGAGTGCTCAAATCACTGCCTTGAAAGGGAAGTCTCCAACAGTTACTATGTTTTATCTTAACATACTTAGGTCTAAAGCTCTAGGTCAGTTTTAACTAAGATTGAGTGTTTGTCCCATGCAGATTTGATATTATATTACTCTTATTTGGTAACAACAGGAAACCTTAAGGTTTAATTAGCTTTTGGATAGCTTAACATATTTTTAAAAAGATGAGTCTGTTTTGCAACCAAAGGCTTGAAATGAAAAAAATGTCAGAACAATCCCTAGGTTATGATCCACCAAATCTGACATTTTCTTTATAAAGTCAGAGCTAGAAAATAAGACATCACATTGAAAACTTTTTTCTAAAATGGAATTCCCATTTCATATAAGCAAATGTAATTTTCATTCTATGATATGTGTAAATTAGAGAAATAATTTCATATACAGTCTTATAATCACATTTATAACATTTTAAATTGATTTTGGGGAGATGGCAGGGGGCATTAAAGGAATTACAATATCCACTATGAAGAGAAACAAGAACTAGGCCTGTGGTTTTCAAGAATAGCTTGCTCCTTGCTTGGTCAAAAAAGAAAAGAAGATAGCTGTCTGGGCATTGCTGTCCATTTCACTCCATGGCATTGCCTCATGTAGCTTTATGGGGTTTTGCTTGTTTTGACTCCTTATCTCTTACTTAGCTCTTTGAATGACTTTTGTAAAAATGTAATTTCTTATATTTCCTATCCCTCTTTGACTTTAATTGTGACCTTATTTCATTTGAGGCCATATTTTTCCCTCCAATGGGAATGTAACTTCAGTGTATGACAATATTCATTGTAAGCTGAAATTCAGTATTCTAAAAACTGCCATATTTTCACACCTTTTATCCATATATATATTGAAGGATTCCTGTATTGTTTCTCATTCATAAATCTCTTAAAGAAATATAGGAACAGCCCTAGCTGGTTTGGCTCAGTGGATAGAGCGTCGGCCTGCGGACTGAAGGCGGACTGAAGGGTCCCAGGTTCAATTCCAAGGTCAAGGGCACATGCCCGGGTTGTGGGCTTGATCCCCAGTAGGGGTCCTGCAGGAGGCAGCCGACCAATGATTCTCTCTCATCATGGATGTTTCCGTCTCTCCCCTCTCTTCTCTGACCTCAATAAAAAAAAAAAAAAAAAAAATATATATATATATATATATATATATATATATTTAAAAAAAAAAAGAAATATAGGAACATGCCTCCTTAAACCAAAAAACAACAACAGGAATTTTTTATGTTGGGTCTATTTAGAAAAAAGGAGGTCTTTAGGCTAACTAAGAATCTTTGCTTATTTTCAACAAGCTAAGTAGGGCCATACATAATTGCATAAAAGTTTATTCTAATTCCAGTTTTAAAGGATTCCTTAAATAGGAAGCAAAGGAATGGATAAAAGTATATTTATATTTTGAGTTGTTTTTGGATAAGTAGTTCTTTAAAGTGCTTTGGTAATGGCCATATATGATATTACCTCCTTGTTTGGACTACAATAACAGGAAGAGAATATATCCTTTTTCCCTTCCTGCTACTCGCTAGTTTGTATACTGTACTTTCTAAAGGGGCAGAGATGATAGTTTCTTTTTTTATTTGTCATGAGATTTTCCCCCCAGTATGTTCTTCAAGAAGAAATTATGGAGTGATTTGGACCTGTGTTTAAAGTAAAATGTCAGGGTCCTTTTACAGAGAGTGTCATTACTACTGATTTCTCATCAAATTCTCCTGGAAAGGCCAACTTTTTAGCATTCTTTCAAGTAATGGGTGAAACAATTCCTTAGTATCATGGGCCTATTGTTAACATCATATTTAGGATGCATTAAACAAATATGTATATAATGTTAATAATATATGTTGATTTCAAATAAGACATATTAGAGATTTTTCCACATGAAAACTATCACTAGACCTGTCCAATTAGTGACCTTTTTAGCTTCTTCATTAACTTCAGTGACATTTTTAACTTCTTAAAAATCAAAAACAGAGAAAATTTATCTTTAAAGCATTTATTATTGGAAAACTAGCAATCTGTTGAACTAAAAAAAAAGGCACCAATATTAGCATTTTAAAATGCAGGTTTTCGCCGAAACCGGTTTGGCTCAGTGGATAGAGCGTCGGCCTGCGGACTGAAAGGTCCCAGGTTCGATTCCGGTTAGGGGCGTGTAGCTGGGTTTCGGGCACATTCCCAGTGGGAGATGTGCAGGAGGCAGCTGATCGATGTTTCTATCTCATCGATGTTTCTAACTCTCCATCTCTCTCCCTTCCTCTCTGTAAAAAATCAATAAAATATATTTAAAAAAATAAATAAATAAAATAAAATGCAGGTTTTCTCTGATATTCTTCATGTTTAGACCTGCATATTAACAATAGATACTACATAAAGGAATGGGGGGTAAATGGCAGGAGTAAAGTGTGAGGGCTGTTCAAACCCTGTGCCCTTGTTCCCTTCTATATGTGCCCTTTAAGAAAAACAAACGGAGCCGAGCAACAAGAAATAAACAGCTAACTGTAGATAAAAATAAGGATGAACTAACAGAAAGCCAGGTATCCTCATACTCACTTATAGTTATGAATTATAATCAAGCTTAAAACAAATGACTAATCAGTAACATATAAAGAAATGCATATTATCACTACAGTTATTTTTTAACTTTTTGTGTTATTTGGCCCATCTGTATAGAGGAGCTTTATATATCTTCTGATTTAATAGAAGTAACAGTAATGAATCTTGTGGATTTTAAAGCTGTGCTCATTACAGGTACACATTGTTATATAAAATGCTTTTCTGCAAAATGAGTCAAATGAACTAACAGTATTTTATCTGGAGTTCACAAATTTAAAAAAACTAATTTCTTTAGTAAAAAAGAAATAAGTTTTTAATGAATTAATCACTCATTTTTTTTGCCCTCATATCTGAGAGTTTTTTGTTAAGTGGTATCATACTTGTAACTGACTATCCTTAACTAGATAATTTTGCTTCTTTGAAGATAAAAACAGTTTTAAAGGATACTGCACAAGATAAACTGTTATTTCAGGCATGTTAACTATCCTTTTTATTTTATTTTTTGTGCCTTCTCTGGCTTTAGAAATTGATGTGCTACGGTGATATTCCATACCATATTTCAAGATAAATTGATCTTTCAATCATATTAAATAAAAACATACTTACCTAAAGAAGGAGCCAGCCAATATACTATAAAAAATTGAAGGAATGCTTCATCGAAACACTTGAAATGTAGTGAAAGTGCCAAAGCTGGATTAAATATAGCTCCTGTTAGACTTCCTCCTGTAATACATTTTAAGCAGAGTGATACCAAACCATGAATCTTACATTTTCTTGTAACTGAAAATATAGGGGTTATTAAATCTAACTTTTGTTTTATATAGTTAAGGACAGTCACCCTTTGGTATCTGTGGGGGATTGGTTCCAGGAGCCCCTGCAAATACCAAAATCCATAATTGTCCAAGTCCCTTATATAAAATGGCATAGTAGTTGCACATATACATACACACCTCCCCTATACTTTAAGTCATCTCAAGATTACTTATAATACCTAATACAATATAAATGCTGTATAAATAGTTGTTTATTATATAGGGAATAATGACAACAAAAAAGTGCATACAGTCAGTATAGACCAGTGATGGCGAACCTATGACATGTGTGTCAGAGGTGACAAGCGAACTCATTTTTTTAGCTGATTTTTCTTTGTTAAATGGCATTTAAATATATAAAATAAGTATCAAAAATATAAGTCTTTGTTTTACTATGGTTGCAAATATCAAAAAATTTCTATGTGTGACACGGCACCAGAGTTAAGTTAGGGTTTTTCAAAATGCTGACACGCCAAGCTCAAAAGGTTCGCCATCACTGGTATAGACACAATTATCATAGTCCTAGCTACATAGTACATGGAATGTTTTTGATCCATGGTTGGTTGAATCTGTGGATTTGGAACTCATAGATTCGGAACCTGTGGGGTTCCAAATACAGGAGCCGACTGCATTCTTATTCTATGATCTTTCTTTGTAGAATCACCTGTCTATATAAAAATAGATTATAGGTTATAATATGCCAGGTGCAAAAAAACCCAACAGGTTATTAAGAAAGTTAATCCAGCCCTGGCTTGCATGGTTCAGTGATTAGAGCATCGGTCTGTGCACCAGAGGTCCAATTCCCAGTCAAGGGCACCTACCTGGGTTGCAGGTTTGATCCCCACCCCTGGTCAGGCATGTGTAAGAGGCAATCAGTTATGTGTCTCTCTCACATCGATGTTTCTTTCTCCTCTCTCTTTCCCTGTCTCCCCCTTCCGTCCCTTCCACTCTAAAAATCAATGGAAGAATATCCTTACTCTTCAGGTGAGGATAAAAAAGAAGAGGAAAAGAAAGTTAATCCAGTGCTTTTCCTATATATTATTGTAAGATGTACATTCAGAATGAATCTGCTCTATTGCTGTTCCTATAAGATTTTATAAAACAGGAGATTTGGCTGTTTTTTAACTTAAATGAATAAATAATAAAAATAAAATGAAAATACATTAAAAAATGGATTCAGTACCTCAGGTTTCTCTTGGACATAGCATACCTTTGTGTTGAAAACAAAAAGTAAAATGGACCAAAGCATTATCATTAACTCCATTTTTTCTTGTCAAGAGAGCCCTAAAGAAGTAATGGAATGGTAAGTAAATTATACCTCAGTAAAGTGGTTACAAAAATTTTTTTGCCAAGAAGTGACTGAGTAGTCATGAACAATAAGCACAAATCCTGTCAACTGCTTTTCAGGATTCATGATCTAGCCCTACACCAGGGTATCTCTCTGACATGGGGCCTAGGAGTTGATCGTTCTTGCTACACAGCAAGAAAGAAAAGGCAGAGGAGGATGGACTGCCTGTCCAACAGTGTTCAGCAGAGCTCAGCTTTTCAAAACATCATTATAGCATATGGTTTCATAAAATACAGCAAAGTAAAATAGGAAATTAAGTGACCTTTTCATAAGAATTCACCCAGATTTCACACTTGATAGGCTGAAAACATTGAAGCTGTTGAGATGAAGATGTTGAACAATGGACCAAGTTCACTTGGCTAAGAGTTTTCTTCTAGCACACTAGCCTCATTCATAGCATGATTCATATTGTCACTGGACAACCAAGTAGACATACCTGTATACACGTTGCTTATAGTAGCAATAGGGAAAACCTACATGCCCAGTCATAAGAAAACAGCTAAGTACATTAGTTTATTGTTAATTTGGAATACCATTCAATATTTGGAAATAATGAGAGATCTCCAAAATATATCCTTACAACCACCACCAAAAAAAGCAAACCCAGAAAGTAAGGTATGAAACTTTTTATGTTAACACAAACACACACTGGATTCTGTAGGGTCTTATCTATATATATAATAAATGGACAGAAAAAAAGTTTGAAAGGACACACAACACATGCACAGAGGATTGCCCTGGAGGAAAGAGTACAGAGGGAAGGGGAGGGGATAGGCATGAGGATGGCAGTCAAAAGTCACTTTTAGTCTCACTGGTAGTGTCAGTTTTTTTTTTTTTTTACAAAAAGAACACATGTATTGTGTAATTAAACATGAATTATTTAAAAAGTAAGAAATCATGCACCAGGCATAGAACTAACAGAAAATGGCTTCGAAAAACAAGCTACTAATCATTGGCATTTGAAAGGAAGAAATCTTAACATCTTGAAGAGGTATCAGTGGGGAGATCTGGCCAGCTGCTGTGAAGAGTCTTGGAGGACAGCATGAACTGAGTGAAGTCACCACAGTGAAAGGCTAAGTCCCAAATTTGGCAATTCTAGGCACTAATGTTTCTCAGCACTCCTAAGGGAATCACATTCTCTGACAGAATGACACTCCTAAAATCACATCAGACTCATGTATAATCCAGAATGTCCATGAACTAATTTACAGTGGACTAGCCCTTTCTAGTGACCAGAATATTAGTAGCAGGTACTATGCTAAGAACTTGCATACATTACTCTATTCCTCACAATTGATATAGATAGTAGTATTCTTCATTTTAAAAATGAGGAAACAACCCAAATTAAGTATCTCTCCTAAGGAAACAGTCCAACACCTCTTAACCATTCTATTATAACTAGCATAATATAAAATGTCTTGAGCCCAGCTGGTATGGCTCAGTGGTTGAGTGTCGAAGTATGAACCAAGAGATCAGGGTTCAATTCCCTGTCAGGGCACATGCCCGGGTTGTGGGCTCGATCCCCAGTGTGGGGTGTGCAGGAGGCAGCCAATTAATCAATGATTCTCATCATTGATGTTTCCCTTCTCGCTGAAATAAATAAAAATACATACTTTTAAAAATGTCTTGAATTTTTATTTGAACTTATTTTTCATCTTTAAATTAGCACCTGTTTCAGATGGTTATTGTATTAAAAATGAAAACATGTAAAAAGCTTAATTCCCTTCTCCACCGACAAAAATTTTACTTATATTCATCATGAAAAACTCCTGAATTAATAAAGTAAAAATCCTACAATTTCTTCAGATAATTTATTGTGCTTATTTTGAAAGTCCTTAGGCATTACATATAGAATACCCACCCACATATATATTATTTCTTTCTGTATGATTTTAAAAAAGTGAATAGAGTATTTGCCAATTCACTCATTCTAAAAATCCTTACTATTTATTTTGTAGCAGGTGACACCATGCTAAGTCATGGTTATATGTTATAATGAATCAATTTTAGTCTCTCATAAAGCTTACTGTCTAGTGAAGGAAAACAGACATTATATCAGAAAACAAGTGTATAAAAATTCTACAAAGGAAATGAATAGGGGGCTGTAGTAAAGACAACTTAGATGTATAAAATAATTTTTTTCAACATCAAATTAATTTAAAAAATGAATGCAGTCCTCTCTTACTCTGTTCAGTGAGCTAAAATTTCCCATATCTAAGTTAAGGAAGATTTGCTTGAAATTTGCATTAGTAATTTCATAGCTTTAACATGCTAATAGGTCACACAGCTTTTCCCCTTCCCCCACCTTTTCCCCCCTCTTCACTTAATTTGGGGAACCAATTAAGTACATAAGTGGTAATGACTTCAGTGGCCTCAATTTGTGCATCAAGGTGCAGGGTGCCAAATCAATAAATACACAGACACTTGGTCAGTGGCTATCCAAGGAGCCTGTGGCTACAGTGCTGGACAGTTATGTTCTGTCTTAAAATACATAATCAGCTGTTTTAATGTGACCTGTATTGGTGGTGACTTCTGAGTACCCTCACCTGTGTCCCAACTGTGGCAAAACATTTTGCAAGGGATGACCCTGTTTATATATGGAGGATGTTTCTGCTTTAGCTAAAACCTAAAACTTTAATAAGCAACTATTCACCAACTCCTCAAATATGCATTATATCCTGCCCTCTTGCCTATACCATTTATTTCCATCTGTGTCTAAAAAAGAATGGTACTAGATCTAAAGAAAGGAAAACATTCGTGGTGTTCATTTTACCCTAGGAGGGCAAGCATGTGTTTAGTAGGAGTCCTCAGCTCAAGGTTTGCTTCTACTCATATTTTAATTTTAATGGGAAGAAGATAAACTCTTACTACATATTTCCTTTCCTCCAAAACATTTTATAATTCAGATATAGTCCCAATGAAGATGTTTTGTTGTAATCTTTTAAAACGACACATTTCATCATTAAACTTTTTGCATCTGATATCTGTCAAGGTAAACAAATGGTTTACAAGAAATCAGATTTCTCAAGAGTTATTTGTTTTTAAAAAGAACCTTTAATTTCAAGCAAGTTTTAATTTTTTAATATTTTTATTGACTTGAGAGAGGAAGGGAGAGGGAGAGAGAGAGAAACATCGATGAGAGAGAACCATTGATCAGCTGCCTCCTGCACGCTCCCTACTGGGGGTCGAGCTCACAACCCGGGCATGTGCCCTTGACTGGAATCGAACCTGGGACCCTTCAGTCCGCAGGCCAACACTCTATCCACTGAACCAAACCAGTGAGGGTCAAGTTTTACTTTTAAAGCATCTTTCTTGATAAGTCACTTAAAAGTTCATTTATTACTCAAGATGAATTATTAAGGAAATAAATTACTTTTAAGTAATTTTTCAGGAAAAGAACTAAGAAATAGAACTGAACTGTACTTGCCACTCTTACTACTAACCAATCATGTAGCTTTAAATTGGAAGGAGCTTTTTAAGCCCAGGATCATTTTTCAGTGAGTGTCAGAAAGGATCTATACCAGGTTGGCTTGAGGAAAGAGGTAGCTGATAACTTATCTTCCTCTCTGCCATTGAAACAATCCCTTTGTAGGATATTTGAACCTTTGGCAATAGCTCACAAGTTCTCAGTTTCAGCACAGAAGTGGCTCCTTTTTCTGAGTGTTCAAAAAGGCACTGAATGGAGGATCTATATTTTGGCCCTACTGGTAAAGAACGGGACGCAAAATGGTTAGAATAACGGGGATACTAGTACTGACATCACAGAGGTTCAGGGGTTTCTTGGTAAAGAGCTTAGAGCCTCAGGTCAAGAGGTCTGGACGAACCGGGTGTTTTGTGGGAATAACAAACCTGCATAGACCAAAAAGGTGATGAGTGCTGCCAGCAGGTGGATCCGAAGCTTGGTTCCGACCTCCTGGAAGTGCAGCAGGGCACTGTGGAAGATAAAGGAGCAGATGGCCTCTACGACGACGGCTTTGGGCAAGTCGACGTGCATGGGGTTCCTGCAAGCGAAGCTCCTCTCACCGACGTGATACCTGGTCAGTCCCAGGCTCCACAGGGCGCCTATACAGTACCTGCTGCCCAGAGCAGCCATCAGCTGAGCCAACAGCCTCATCGCCCCCGTCTCGGGGGACATCCCCCCCAGCATCATCTGCATCATCACACCGCACGGGTTGCTGGCCGTGCCCACCAGAGTCAGGCCATGCACCAACGAGAAGAAGTAGGTTAGCGTCAGCGACCAGGTGGGGTGCGCGGGTTCCTGCTCGCCCAGCAGTTGCAGCTCGAGGGTGCAGAAGCAGAGCTGGAAGGTGGCCAGAAACTCCAAGACGAAGGCGTGGGCCGTAGGCCGGTGCACGTGCCGCTGGAGGACCCCGCGGGCCAGCGCCACGGACAGCACGATCGACAGCATCAAACCCAGCGAGGTGCAGGTGTCCTGCACCTCGGGCCAGAGCCCCCGCAGCGTCGTCATGGCTCGCTCCCCCAGACTAGGCTGCGGGTCAGCTCGGCAGCAGGCGGTCGGTCTCGGGGCTGGAGTCCGAAGTCTGCGGCCCCGCCCCCTGCTCCGGCCCTCGGGGCGGGCGGACTCTAGACGAGCTGCCCCGCGCGTCACCGGAGGGCTCCTCCCCCACTCCCCGGCTCCCCGCCGAGGTGCTGGGGCTAGAGCTGGAGAGGAAGGGAAGGGAGAGGCAGCTCTACTAGGGCACTGGCGGAGGGGTCAAGGGTCATCCCGCACGGCCACGCACACGCCCTGGCCCCTCTCTCAGGGACCCGAGCGGGCGCGAGCGCTTGCAGGGAGCCGGGGACGCCGCGCCGGGACCACTGCGCGTGCGCGTGGCGGCCGGCGCCCCCGCCGGCGCTGGGTGGGACCTCAGCGTTTGGGCCGAGCCGCTCGCAGGTGCGCCCTCGGGGCGTGGGAAGGTGAGCGACCGCTGTTTTGACAGTTGCTTTGAAGCGAGGAAACTGAGGGTTTTACTACCCGCTCCTAAAACTGTAAAACCGTCAAGCTGGACAGACACCTAAAGATCATCTTCTTGACCAACCACCTCGTTTTTTATTAATGGGGCGACTGAGCAGACGGGAGGTGACGGAAGTGCAGGGCAGCGGGTGTGTGTGTGGGGGGGTGGTTGTGCGGGAGTGGACTTCGGGGAAGAGCGAACCAGGGTTTGACCTGTGAAGAAGGGCATGCAACTTGATTGTCTCCTTGATAATCGTTAGTTTTCTTCTCCTGCCTCACAGCGCTGGGGGTCATGGGACCCACCTCATGCACTGGTTTGCAGCACAGAGCCCAGCACACAGGAAGTCCAGTAAGTGCGAGCCTGGAGGTGAAAGAGCAGGTCTGATGGTGCCCAAGTCTAGTTTCAGTTTTGCAAGATGAAGAGAGTTCTGGAGAAGAATGGGGTGATGGTTGCACAATAATGTGAATGTGTTACAGGTGCAAAGTTCGTGCACCCGATGCTTCCAAAGAAAGGCCAGTATTCCAACCATTGACTGCACATTAGAATCACCTGGGAATCTTTTTAAAATCCTGATTTCTGGGCCGCATCCTCTGGAAATTCTGTTTCTTTGTTATGGGGTGGGGCCACAACATTAGTAACAAAGAAACAGAATATCTGGAGGATGAGGCCCAGTAATCAGGATTTTAAAAAGATTCCCAGGTGATTCTAATGTGCAGCCAAGGTTGAGAACCACTGGTTTAGAGTAAAGAAAGGTTAATTGAGAAGAAATAATCTTCAAACCCATGTTAAGAGGGCCCACAATTCAGACTGTCTTCTCTGACAAGGGAAGGGAGGAGGGGCGAGGCAAGAGGTGGGTTTCCTCCCCTCCCTGCCCTCCCCAGAGAGCTAGAGAGCTAGGCGCTGAAAAGGACTCCAAGGAGGAGCTGGGCAGCTCTAAATCCCTTTGATCCTGGTCTGTGGTTGAGCCCTCTGACCTGAGTCCTTGTGGAGACTCCCGTAAATCTTTGATAAACAGTCACTATTTCCCCACCCCTTCCAGAAAGGCCCCTGGGCAAGGGGCTGCTGGGGCAAAAACTCAAGCCTCAAGCAGAATTCCTTTGGTTAATTAGCATATTTGAGGCAGGTGCTATTAATCCAGAGGCTCTGAGAAGAATACATTGTAGAATTAAGACAGAGAGAGCATTTCACTCTGTTACAAATGTACTTAACACCGCTAAACTGTACACTTAAAAATGGTTAAGATGGTAGCTTTTATGTTATGTGTATTTTACTACAATTTTAAATGTGTTTTTTTTAAGGGATAAACCTTAAATGTATATTGCTAAGTGAAAAATCTGAAAGACTACAAACTATGTGATTCTATTTATAGGATGTTCTAGAAAAGGGAACTATATAGGCAGAAAATAGAATAGTAAGGAGTCCATGGGAGAGAAGGGTTGAAAAGATTAAGCATCGAGGGTACTTTATGGTAGTAAAACTATTTTGCATAATACTGTAAGGGTGGATATGTGACACTATGCATTTGTCCAAACCCATAGAACCTTAATGTAGGCAAATTTTAACAAACCATTTAGGAGAATCCCAAAATGGAATAAAGACTAGAACAAAATAATACACATTATAAATGTGTGAACCAACCTCATGGAAGGGGGTGGAAGAAAAGATGCTGATCTATAACTTGGAAATGAGTGGAATCTGTAAAACTAGATGTAGAAGGAACTGTACACCTGTTTCTAGTTGAAAACTTGTATATCCACAGGGGAAAAGGCTAGAATGATCCAGGTGGTAATGAACTAGAGTTGGAGATGTCACTGTGACCTCATGTTTAGCTTAATATCGATACAGGCAGTTACATACAGAAATATTTATAGATGTTTGTGTGTGTCCTATAGTTTATACACATACAGCATTTCCTTACTCTGATACCTGACAGGGCTTAGGAGGTAGGATACCCTGGTAGCAATGAGCACACCTAGTGCCTAGATCTTGGTTTCTTTTCTTTTTTTAAAAAAAAAATATTTTATTGATTTTTTTACAGAGAGGAAGGGAGAGAGATAGAGAGTTAGAAACATCAATGAGAGAGAAACATCAATTCAGCTGCCTCCTGCACATTCCCTACTGGGGATGTACCCACAACCAAGGTACATGCCCTTGACTGGAATCGAACCTGGGGCCCTTCACTCCGCAGGCCGACGCTCTATCCACTAAGCCAAACCGGTTGCAGCGGTTCTCAACCTGTGGGTTGCGACCCCTTTGGCGGTCAAACGACCCTTTCACAGGGGTCGCCTAAGACCATCCTGCTTATCAGATATTTACATTACGATTCATAACAGTAGCAACATTGCAGTTATGAAGTAGCAACGAAAATAATTTTATGGTTGGGGGTCACAACATAAGGAACTGTATTTAAAGGGCCAGAAGGTTGAGAACCACTGTGTTAGGGCATTTCTTTCTCTTTTTTTATAAGCAAGAGTTTATTTAGAAAGTCACAGAGGTAGAAAACACAAGTTGCAGAGGCTAAAGAACGGCCTTTGGAGCTTAGGAGAAAGAAAAGCAAAGAAAACTCTCCTGGGGGAAGGTGAGGGGCAGACACAGGGCGCGGCGTGCTTCAGAGAGAGAGGGAGGCCTTGAATCCTTTGTCTTGAGGGGTTTTATCTCCAGATCTTAGTTATACCATTCTTAGATAAAAGGAGCTGGGAATGACTGTTTCAATAACTAGGACAGGAAATATGCAAGATAAGCCTGGAGCATCTGGTAGTGCTAGGAAGTCATAAAAAGGGAAATTTAAAAGATGTGGGTATGTCAAAGGGACACAGGAGCCAACTGAAAGAGCTGGCCAAAGCTGGACAATTTGAGGAACAAAATAAAGTGGTATTGGATTATAACTCAAAGTATAGATTAAAAATCCATGAAGCATACTGACATAGATAAATAACAGAATGAATACATAAATAAATGGGAGAGAGTATAAACATGCCCATGCAGGAGAATTTTAAATAATTCACGTGGATACTCTGTTTTCAAAGAGGCTGAGCATAGCTCCTCGCTTGTTAAGTGTAGTTTCTGCAAATTGACTCCTTTCAGAGAGAACAGTGTGGAAAGAGTAACTTTGTCGTGGAGAAACCTGGCAAACATGACCTCACCCAGGTGATCAAGGTTAACATTGAAGTATGGTAGCAATCATCTCAGGTAGAAACTATAGTTTAACTTTAACCCTGCTGTTTGGTTTCTGTACTTATTTGTTTGCTTAAATAATAGAAAAGTTATTTTGATCTTCTGAATTATATAAATTATCCCATTCGATTAAATACCCTATTGATTGTAATGTGAATATCCCATGGGTTGTGGTCATACTGGTCTTAGAAAGCACATTTTCCTTTACCTGGGAAGGACAGCACGATTATCCCAAGGTCAGAGGGCTCCAGTTAACGTGTCCCTGTGGACTCAGTGTTCCGGAGACCCAAAAACTGTAATTTAGATCAAACCAGGTTCCTCATTCCAGACCCGAGGGCTCTAGATAATGTGTTTCTGTCAATTCAGTGATCCGGAGACCCAAAACTATAATTTAGATAACATGCTGCTTCTGCTTCTGTAAACTGCTTTTTGCAAACCAGGTTCCTCATTCCAAACCTTGGGATGTAATCAATACCTTTGTGATCTTTGCCTATATAAGTCTGGTGTTGGGGCTGGGGTGGGCACTATGAGATTTGGGAGAGCGAAATGCCCCCTCATAGTCCCGGATTTGCAATAAATATGACTCCTTAATTCGACTTCTTGAGGCGTCCTTCTGTGATTCGCGGGGTACATTACAACAACATCAACAGTGATATCATGTTGGCAGTATGTGCGCTTGATATAATGTAGTGAAAATGGCACTTTACTTCTGTGGCCTTCCTTCCCAAAACACATAACCCCAGTCTGATTATGAGAAAAACATCAGACAGATACCAGTTGAGGGACATTCTGTACTAGTAAAATACCTGACCAGTACTCCTTGAAATTGTCATGGTCATAAAAAATAAGGGAAGTCTGGCCCTGGCCGGTGTGGCTCAGTTGGTTGGAGTGTTGACCCATAAACCAAAAGGTCGCAGGTTCGATTTCCTGTCAAGGCACATATCCAGGTTGTGTGTTCAATCCCTGGTTAGGGTGAATACAGGAGGCAACTGGTTGATGTTTCTCACTTCTATGTCTCTCTCTCTCTCTCTCTCTCTCTCTCTCTCTCTCTCTCTCTCTCTCTCTCTCTCTCTCTCTCTCTCTCTCTCTCTCTCCCCCTCCTCCCCCTCCCACCCTTTCACTCTCCCTCTCTTTCTCAAATTATATCCCTATCTATCTATCTATCTATCTGAAGTCTGAGAAACTGGCATAGCCAATGGGAGCCTAAGGAGATATGATGACTAAATGTAATGTAATGTAGTATCTTGGATGGAATCCTGGGACAGCTAAAGGACATTAGGTAAAAATTAAGGAAATCTGAAAAAATATGGACTTTAGTTAATATTAACATTGATTCGTT